TCTTCAGTAAAACATGCATAACTTCTGCTACAGGATGCTGATTGACCTCAAATCGGTGGACTGGAAAGATAACTCAAAGATCTATTTTGTGTCAAAATATTGGCTCAATCCAACGGTGGGAGGGTCTCCATCCATCGCTAAATATCTGACGCGTCTGTGCAACTCTACACTCAAAAGACACCAAAATCACCATATTTCTCCAGCACGTACTTGAATCTGTAAATACTCTAAAAATTCTTTATAATATAATAAATAGTTATTAAAACACTCATATATGATGACTTAAAGTGGATCAAAATCTTGGTATATCATTATACAATATACAACCATCTCTGCACTAAATTAGATCCAAGAAGAACGACACATATGTATATGTCTTTACCTTCAAGGAATGAGCATGACACAAAGAAATTACCACTGCCTTTTATCACGGTTTTAACATCATCAGAAAGACCGAGATGACCTTGACATCAATTCTAGAGGAGGGAGGAACCCTACCACCTGCGTCCTGAAAATTAAGCATGCATAAATATTTATACCTCAGTACTTTCTATATGCAGCGTGAAACAAGGAAAATAGAACAATAACCCGTGCAAGGAATACATTTCGCTATGGTGCAGTCAAAGAGCACAATAAACAGGAGTCTCCCTTAGGCTTCGATCAAAACGTTGACCTTGGTTCCTTTTTCGTTAATCTATATTGTTGCATTATAAATGGAACATTTGCATAACATATCATCAATCACAACAAACGATCAGTCACACAAATTTTACAATATCCCAAAAAATGAGGTATGATTTTATGGAATGAACAATAAGTACATAATTAATTGAGAACGTTACACTAAGAGACACATTAGTAATTTCATATAACATTAAAAGACACATTAGTAGATAGATGCACCTTTTTTTGTATTGTACATAAGTTTATGTACAAAAATACCCTCAAACAGTTAAAGAGATATGCATCTCTATATATTTATAATGTAACGAGGCTTTCTTGATTTCTAACAATCTATTTTTTTTTGTTAATTTTATGTAAAATAACTTTATTATACCCCATCATATTTCATTCATCATTATTTCATATATATTTATATAAATATAAATGGAAAATCATATATAAAATAAAGGATTTTTTTTCTTTTTATTTTGATATCCATATATATATAATAATAGTTTTGAAAAATTTAATTTGGTATACATATTTATTTTAGCAATAATCTATGAATATGGTAAGATGGATATGAGACTTGTGGATATGTTTTGATGGACATAAAATATATTCACATAAATCCCATCCACCACAACCTTTACCACCTCCATCACAACCACTACCACCTCCACCGCAACCGCTACCTCCTCCTCCCACTCCACCTCCACCGCAACCACCTCTACAGTATCCACCATCTCGTCATCCACCACCGCGTTCCCCATAACCACTAGCTCTTCCTCCCTCTCCACCTCCACTGCAACCACCTCTACAGTATCCACTGTCTCGTCATCCACCACCGCCTTCCCCATAACCACCAGCTCTTCCTCCCTCTCCACCTCCACCGTAACCACCTCTACTGTATCCACTTTCTCGTCATCCACCACCGTATTTCCCATAACCACCTCCTCCTCCTCCCTCTCCACCTCCACCACAACCATCACCGCAGCATCCACCTTCTCGTCATCCACCACCACTTTACCCATAACCACCACCTCCTCCTCCTCCACTTCCACCCTAACCACCTCCACGGCATCCACCTTCTCGTCATCCATCACCGTCTTCCCCATAACTTCATCTCCTCTGCTATGGTATCCATTTCCACCACAAACATTTTCATTGATGTATCCACCTTCACGTTTTTAACCACCGTCTTCTCCATAGCCATCACCTCTTCCACTTCGGTAACCACCACCTCTACCACTATCTCTATCTCTATCGTCACTACCTCTACTGTGATATCTACAATTACTCTCAGAAACAAGGAGATGTGGAAGACATTATTTGGTGGTGGGTAATATACAACGGAAGCAAAAAAATATAACACATAATAGATCGAAAAGGATTAGGTTTTGTTGTGAGAATTTTTGAGTCATTGATGTTTTAGAGTTGAGAAAGAGAAAGAGAATTGGATTCCAGAGATTAGAACTTCTCGAAGATGGAGGTGGATGTAATTGGTAAAGTGATGTTTGCTTTATCTTTTAATTTTTTTTTAAGAAAAAAAAAACAATATTGGTTTGATGGAACAAAAGAGAGACAATATAACTAGAGGGTATATTTGACAAACAACACATAAAAAGTGTGTAAAAGCATGAAGTGTCTTTTAATGTTATCACAAACACAAAAATTTTCTCTAGAAGTAATTGTTTCCAATTAATTTCAGGTTGTTGGATATCCACAACTCAAATTCGGTTGACCCTCCCGCATAAATTAAACCAACATCTATCCATTTTTCAACTATTTAAAACCACTCAATTCACATCCTTTAACGAGGCACGTCCTGCGTATTTTGACTCAATTCGCTAGATCCAACAAACTGACGTCAGGATGAAACATCAAATTAATAATTCGGATCAGTCAGTGAACCAAACAAAAAGTAACAATTATTTCTAAACTGATCGATTTATCTTTCAGACAGACAAAACTTAAGTAGACAGCAATATATTAATCATGTATTCACACACACACACACACACACACACATATATATATATATATATATATTTCTTTTTATTAGTTTCATGTATTCATGTATTGTATTCATGTTTGGACATAACTAATTACTAAAATTAATCAAATCTAGGAAGGTTTTCCCACAAAAAAACAAAGATGTATTCAAGAAACAAGCCAATAATATCCACTAATCATCACACTGTAAACAATATAACCCAATGTTTTCTAATGAAAATAGTGCATGAACCTGGGAAGAAGAGGGTTCTGCTTGTCTGTTGAGAAAGCAATAAGACGAGAAGATCTGATATTGTTGGTAACGGCACTAGGATAGGTGGAGGCAAGGTGGTTCCGCTCTGAAAGAGCACAAACTGATCCACCTTCCTGATTCTGTAGAGCCCCAGGTGATTTGGTCACATTTTTATCGGAAACCGTTTCAACATTTTTCTCTCTTCTTAAGACAGCCAGAGATTAAACAAATAGCAAATTACATGTAGGGTTTTTCGTTTCTTGAAATACAATATAGAATTTGTACTTCTCTACATTTTAAGATAATTAATTTTGGTAATGGCACTAAGATAAGTGGAGGCAAGGTTGTTCTCTCTCTTTTTAAAAGGCCTCCAAGCTCTCTCTACTAATTTTTCTCCGATCTGCTTTGGCGGCCGACAATCAGGAGCGTGGCCGCCGGAGGCTCCTTCCTCTTCTCTTCCTCTTTGTATTTTGCTTCGTCCTTCCTCTTTCTCCAGATCCGTCGAGATGCTAGGTGCTCTGAAAAGGGCTTTACCGCGGGGGTTCTAATCTGCTCCGGGGAGGTTAGATCTGTGGTTGGTAGGTTTAAATTTGGAGTTCCTGTCAGGTGGTGAGGGTTGGGGTTAAGCGAAGTCGGCGTTTAGGGTTTAGCTTTGACGGCTCTCGATTGTATTTTGTGGATGCCGTCGAAGTTCTCATTTTGGAGGCGTGTGGAGGATCATCGGTGGTCTCTCTCCCTGTAGTCGTCAGAGTGGTTGTGTCGAGAGGGTTCTTCGTTGTGGAGAGGGGTTTGAGCTTTCCTTTCAGTTCGGCTTGTGGTCTTGCCGAAGGGTCAAAGGTTTTAGTCTCTTACTCATGAGAGATGGTTGTTATCTGTCGCCGGCACGTGCATAGCGGTGTAGTGGCTACACTTCTGTTGGTTTGGCGTGCGTAGCTGAGGTTTGAAGTCTGGTGTCTTGTCGTCTATGGCTGTGCTCCTTTCATTACTGTGGCTGCTCTCCCATTGTTCCATCGACTCCATTTCATCGTTTGCGATTTGCTTTGGCCTTATGTGGTCGATGTGTTTCAGGTCCTGCTTTTAGTGTTCCCTCGTCTCTCCATCGAGGTGTTTTCTGGAAGTGCAAAGAAGACCGGTACAGGTTCTCTGTACCGGAGTTAGGATTCGCCGGCTAGCTCTGATTGGGTCAATTGGGTAATGCAAGTGATATGGAGACCTACTTAAGATGCTATCATCCCAGTGCGCAGAAGGTCATTGTTACTTGATCTTCTTCATAGATGGTTCTTTTCTTCTTTGCAGGTTCTGAAGATAGCGGTTTGGTGTTGTCTCCTTCTCAGCCCATCGTTTAGTTAGGTGGTTCGTTGGCAGTAGTAGCGAGCGCTTGCTCGTTTAGGATTGTGTTTCAAGCGATGTGTGACGCTGCATACAATCCTGGCTTTGGTGGCATTAGCAAGGCTTCGTGGTAAGTATTTAGAATCAACCCCTATTGATCGTCTTGCGCTTCAAAGACAGTGGAGGTTATAAGCTCCGTGGAGTCCATCGGGAACTAGCTACTCTGGGGATGACATGAGAAATCCCGGCATCCGAGGCAACAAGAAGAACCTCACTTTCCCGTGACAAGCGTCGATGGTTGAAAACGGCAATGTATTTCAAAGAATTTCGAAAAACAAGCTAGTGAAATGTGCCGGATTTAGTTAGCGGTCGAAGCTAGTTTTGTAATAGTTTGTTTTTGGAATTTTTGTTCAAAACGGATTTGTAACCGGATCTGATTCCCGATTTTTTTGATTGAATATATACGTTAAGAAAAAAAAAAGATAATTTATTTTATAAATACCGTTGTTTTATTACGTATCATCATCATCTGATATGATTTCCTCACACGTTAACGTTAATTCGTCTTCAAGATAATCAAAAAAAAAAAAAAACTAAAATAGCCTTTGAGCTTTTTTCTCAAAACGTGACAGGACATAGATTTGCTTTTGGCTTGTGACACTAACGGATAAACTGGTCTGATTACTAAAGCTGGTTATGGCGAGCGTGAATGCTTTAAACAAGCCAACGATGATAACATCAGAGAGTGAAAATGGAAGATCAATTAACCGGAATACTAAGCTTATCAAGTTCTGCATGATAAAAAATAACTTAAGCCAATCAAAATTTGTAGACAATGAAAACAAAAAAAAGGAGGGTCTTTAGCTATTAATGTTTTAATTAACTAACACTTGTTTATGATTGTGTGTTCACCAATTCAAACATAATAATAAAAAAAAGGGACAGAAAACCATGCAATTATGTTCAAACCCTGTTGTAAGCAACAGACTTGCTGAAAAGCTTGCGGATGTATAGAACCTGAAGACCACTTGCTGCTGCTAGGAATATGTACTCTCCTACTGTATAGAAAATCACACGCTTTCTCGTGCTCTCATTAGCTGCACCACAGTTCCAAAAAAGACAAATTGTATCTTTTGGGGTCAAACACAGACTCTAAAGTTGTATCTTTTGGGGTCAATTGTCAAATAAATAATCTAAAGGTTGTGTCTTTTTAGGGTCACACAAAGACTCTAAATGTTGTATCTTGGGGCCACTCATAGACTCTAAAGGTTGTATCTTTTAGGGTCAAACAAAAGAGTTGAGTTATGCCGCATCTGAAAAAGCTATTCATATCACGGGAATGAGTTGAGAAATTTACAAAACCAAAAATATAAAAGATGAAGGCAGAAAGACTCACTATGACGGTGACGGGTATCACGTGCTTTCAAATACTTTTGCTCAGCAACAACAGACTCCAAAGCCTCTCTCAGCTCAGCTATCTTAACATTCACTGGGTCCAAATGTTCTGAGAAGCATACAAGGAAAAAAGAGAGAAACACAGGATCAAACAAACAAGTAGCTGACACAAAACAGTCCAAAACTCAAAGCCAGGGTTAATAATAAAGATGAATGGGAACAAACCGTCTTTAGCCAAGTCATGCTCGTTGGGGATATGACCAACATGAATGTAGAAGGAGACAGTCTCAGGAGTGGAGTAAGGGTTGTGGAAACAAAACTTGTACATTCCACTTCTTGGTGCCTTAAACTCAAACTTATCTCCTGATGTTCCTTTCAACGTATGTACTATGTTCCCAGCAGGAGATGTCACCTATCCCAATAATCCAAACCATTAAAACACATTAGCCAAACAAAATCGCCTATCCAATCCAATCAATTATCGATAAATTATACAAATTTCAATAAAACTTCTAAAAGTTTCGACATAAGTTATACAAATTTCAATATAAATTCCGAAAATTTCAGTACAAAATCTACAATTTTAATCCTAATCGAACATCAGATCAGACAGAAGAAACAAATAAACGATCTGAAATTCAGACAGATTCAGTCTGAAAACTTCACGGTAATAACGAACCAACAAAACATTCAAGGAAATGCATAAGGCTGATCTAAACCGGGAATAACGAAAAGATCTCTAACCGTGAAATCCAAACCGGGATGATCAGATCCCCAGAAGATATCATGGTCAACGACGACGAAATTCCCAGAGACGTTATCTCCTTCGTAAAGGACATACTCTTGGACGCATTCATCGTCGCTAACCGTAACCGATAGCGACGAGATTCGCTCGATCGAGCTCATTAGTATCAGACCAACCAATACAAAGACATGGATCTTCGAACTCCTCACTTGTCTTCTCTCCATCTTTCTCCTTTTTTCTCTCTAGATCTTAACTCTCTCTCTCTCCTTTCGATCAAAATTTTCCGCTCGTGTCGAGAAAATGCGGAGGCCGTTCGAAGAAGACAAGAGGAGTTAACTATAAACCAAAACCGGTTTACGTTGAAAATGATGCGTTTTCGAGCTGTTAAAAACATTAAAGACTTTATGATAATTATATAATAAAATTCCCTAAAATGAAATTTTGGTTGTGAATTATATAAAGTGAGGAGTATAATATATAATTTTGTTATTATTATTGAATTAATATATTTTATTATATAAAAATGATATTCTTCCCTCTTATGATGTCACGTTAGTAATTCATTCATTTTGAAAGTCTCATGTGGTAAGGAAGTTAAAGCTCATCGTTTCATATTTATCTGGTCGTTTTTTCGTTTGGGCTTTTGATTGCTAACTGGCATGATGCTTTTTTGGTGTACTTTGCAATTGGCTTAGAACGTATGTGGGGCGATGGAAACACTGTTTTCAGAAAACATGATAGATGAGGAACTCCATCTCCGCAACTCAACCTAGGGTTTCAACATTCGAAATCGTTGTTTTGTATTCTTCAAAATATCAAAGAGTTTGAGAGTTACATATTCAAGCCTTTAATATCCTCATTTAAACCATTCACCACGATCTTTCTTAAATGCGGACTTCTTTCTTGCAAGACGGTGGAACTGTAGCTATAAAAAGTAGGTGTCTTTACTATGTAAATCATCTCATCATTCTCATCAAACAACCCATTATCATCAACAGTATGTATGCAAATAGCAGTCACATGAGCTATAGGTATGGATACAAAGCCGAAATCCAACGTTCTCACAAAGTACTGCCAGCTGCCTATTCTAAAGGATAGCAAACATAAGCTCTACAAGGTTTATTTTTGATTTATTTGGCGTTTGAACTCCACAAAAGGATCTACCGCCAAAGGTTCTACAAAAAATCAGTTAATTACATGTTTATACGTTGTTTAAGATTTTGTAATAATCATGATTGTAGATCCTAAAATCCACACTAAGTATTTTGTAGGGATCAAGAGTTTAATCTGAAGAAGACAAATGATGTGGGAAACGATGCTCTTAGAATACAACGATACAATCAGAGTTCGGTTGACAAAAATAAAATTTATTGAATATGGAATTCGGTACAAAGTGGTAAATAAGATCGAGAACAACAATGAAAGATAGAAACTATAGGTGAACTAGAAGTCTACGACGTGAGGTCGATGTGAATATTGATTTGCTCTAGAGTTTTACATGTCCCATGTACTCCGTTTTAGCTCTCCTCTTATAGCCTTCTTCTCTTCTAACTGCTTTCGCGATCTTCGGGGTCTTACTTCGACCTCATCGTGTTCGTTGATCCCGAACTGATAATAAGACATGGGCATGGGCCCTATTACGGACATCAGATCCAGCATTCTTTCCCGTCTTACTCTATGAGCTCTTTGGGGGCTCGTTTGCTTGGTATTTATCTTTAGCATTTGAAGGATCTCGCATTACCGAAATTAATGGGCCTGAGATTGGGCCCAACAATGCTGAACAAAAAGTTCTAAAGAACTATGTTGCAGTTTCTGCCTCTTTTTACTACTTATAATTTTCATCTTCTAATTTTTCGAATGCCTCTTTTTACTACTTTTCCTAATTTCTAAAGCCGAATTTTCCAGATCCAAATTGTAAAATGGCTGTGCAAGTGGCTAGAATGCAGATCGATGGTTGCTGGATTTCTGTAAATATTTGAAAAAGTTTCCATAAGATGGTAAGTAGAATTGTGAGGCACTATCAAGTTTATACTAATGTTCTGCGCAAGCTTTTATTATAAATAACAAATGCCTTAAATGTTATTAGGGAACTGCAATCAGAGACAATATCCAAGAGAGGTCAATCAGACATGAGACAACTTCCCATAAACAAACTGGAGAATGGTGATGATGATGACACAGACGACCAGTTCTATGAAGAATAAGAATATTTCAAACATGACATTGGCAGTGACGAAGATGAAAATGAACGATACTATGACGAGGAGGAAGATGTTGAAGAAGAACTGAGAAACTTGTTAAGAGGGATGCAAAAGATAACAAGTAAGGTCAATTTTTAGTAAGCATTAACAAAAAAAATTAAGATCAGTTTACTCATGACCACATTTACTAAATTCCCTTAGGCTTTTAATTTATCTCTCTTTGTATCAGTAAAATGCATCTAGTGATGGTGACGTGTGTGATTTTTTGTAATGATATCAAATGTTACTTTCTTGGGTTGCAGGCAAAGAAGCTCTCGAGCTTGAGAACTATCCAATGAGGAGGTCATAGATGGTGTCTTGACAACTATCTCTTGCTTGACAGGCGAGGAAGTGAAAAGGGCACTGCAAAAACTTTGAAGGCTTTGGTTAAAGACGTTGTGCATGATAACAATGATGTAAGTCTTGAAAAACACAAAGGTTTTGAAAAACAAAAGGAGAGGTGACTCTCTATTCCGCGCTATTCATATGTCGCGGGTTGATCAAGCGGGGATGACCTACATGCCATGGCTGAGCCATTGCCAAGGCTAAAAAGAAGGGCGGTCAGGTCAATTATCATGATCAAGCCAAGGGTCATAAGCTTCAAGTCATGTTTGCAGGGGAAGCAACACGTAGAATCCGTTACTCCACAATTCATGGTGTTTAGTTTAGTGGTTTCAGGGAAGCCAATAAGCTTCTCAAGCATTAAAAATGTGAATTTTGAGTGTTAGTTCTAAGATATGTTTTTCATTCTATATTACAAGTTTCACGCATGTTTCATTAAAAAAAACAAAGAAAGTTAAAAAGAAAGCAAAATATAAAGAGGTATAATTGAATTTGCATCTTTGTTTGTGATGAAGAGAGAATGAACTCTATTATATGTCATCTTTTTATGGAGTACGAAACATATGAGCAAAGTGGAGAACAATTGTGTATTAATTATGATAGAATTGATAGAATGAGTCTAAGATCAACTCTTCGGATTGGTGGACTGTTCAGTGGAGGAGGAATGCACGGTTTTGGATACATGAGTAACACAGAAGATAAAAGTTTATTAGAGTCCCATAATTTTCACATTTGAGCTTCTTTGCTTTTTGTTTAGTCTTTACTCCAATTTAGAATTTTGTCAGTCCTTTTTTTATAAGAATGCTGTAAATAAATAAGAAATATAAATATATGTACTATTTAATATTTTAAGTTAAAATGTTCAGCAAGTGGAAATCATCATCATCTATATGTATGTCGAATAATAATAATATTATTTTTAACAACTGAGTTATATGAAAATAAATTAGAAACAAACTTATTTTTAACAAAGTTAAATAATGTAAGTGTATATGAAGCTAATTTACAATCTTATATATAATAGTACACTTTCTAGGCTCTTCAGCGCGCCACATCAGCATTTTGTGGGTCCTACACATTTAATTTTTAATAGTATAAAATTTTTCCACAATGCCTTTTGACAATGAATGTGAACATGGCCAAGTGGTTTAAGCTGTCAAACTAAATGTTCGCTCCGCATGTGTATGGGTTCGAATCCCACAGCTCCCATGTTTTTTAAAGCGTTCATTGTTGGGTAATTTTTTATATGGGCCTAGAAAGTGTCCTATTATAATATAAATTTCTTCTTTTATTTAATGATGGGCTTGGACATTTGCTCTTTGTACTATTTCTTATTGGGCCTCGCCATATTTGGCCCGAGAACAAAGTTATAGTTGACTTCTGATTTATGTCTTCGTGGACTTTGCATTTGGCCTGGTACTGAGTAGGGTAACTGTATTCGTCACGAATTTACGTTGTATGATGGCTCTTCCTCTTTCTTTGTCAAGCCGCCTGCGTCCTTTCAGTAAGATCCAATTATTTCATTCCCCTCTCCATTATAATTTTCCCATAATTTTAACAACTTACGTGTTTTTTAACCAAAGAGGGAGACGATTATAAATAGTAGAGGCGTCAGCACCGAGACCTACATCTCATACCCTTATTCCGCCTTTCTTCTATCTGTAAGTTATTCCAATAGCGTCTGCTGCCGGCAATGCTCTCGCTTTCCCAGCTTTGGTTCATGACGGCAAGTTTGATGATTTTCGTCTTAGATGTTTGGTTGATATGGATCTGTTTGATACGTAAGCCCAATATTCACGATTCCAGTTTTGTTGAAGGTTTTTGTATTTAATCCTCCAGCTCTGTCATTGTCAAAGCTTGAAATCGTGTAATTTAGGATCTCAATTTGTTTCACTTTTGTAATTGTTTGTAAAAAAATAATTGAACATTGTATTTGTTCATATGATTTGTAGTAAGTATTGACGTATATTTGTCCTCATTAATGTGATTTGGCAGATTGCATACAAGACAAGGGAATCTTACATTTCCAACCCGTCTGAATACTTCTTCAAAGGTCTCTTAAGCACTGATGCTAACAACTCTTGCATTTGTTTATATCTTAACTTATTTACAATATCAACATTCATGGTATATACTTTATGACCTAAATTTTGTTGATTTACTGATATAGAGTTTGAAGCTTCGCTCCAATGAGGAGATCGACCTAGACTCTATTACCATCAAGCTATACTCCGTCACTACCAAGCGGTTATGGGAGGAGGAATCAAAGCCCAAACTCTAAAACAAGCGTTTTGGTTTGCAATATACGCCATGATTGCAGGTTTATATTTGACATATTTTTAATTCTCTTCAGCCATTTTATTTAGGACGCCATTAGTTTTTAGATACCTATTAAAAATAGTTAAGGATGAGGTTATGTTATCTTTTGAATTTTTTCAAAGTTAATATATATCCCAGACTCCTCTCGATATTCTTGGTTTGATGATCGTTTGTTTTATGATAAAAGAAATATACAAGATGGGTTTTTTTGGTCATCAAAATTATTCTCAAGCTTCAACGACTGATCTTCGGAGCTAAACAATGAAGCAAAGCGGGCAAAATAGCAATAATTCCCTTGAAACAAAAGCAACGAAAAACAACCTTTATTGACCTTTTAACTCATATATTTATAATTTTGGCTTTCATGACTATAACTCCAGTGTGTAATATAATTTTTCATTTCCTCGCATTTGGCAAGTTATGTTTCTTCGCTTATACTCTTTT